GTGGATAATACTTAAAATGCCTCACAGTTTTTGTCCGACTGGCAACACTTACACTCCGCTGCGATCACAGCCCCTCGTGTATCACAAGCTGCGACCAGTGTGCAAAACTGCCCATGCTAGTGACTCCCAAATCATCCATTGCTTCTTTCCTATTACTTGCGTCGTCTCGCACAATTGCTTGCACTTTGTTTAGTGGGATTTTCCACTAAACGCTACTTCCACCTCTCAAAACTTTGTTTTTTACAAAGACGCGTGGTCTACCCAGGCCAGTACTTTTAATATGAAAGATATGGACTAAATATTATGTGTCACTGATATTTGTGTATTATATGATTTTATGTGACTCATTTTCAGTATTGTTCTTGGCTTACACATCAAGTTAGAGTTTCTGTGATCCTTCAGAAAGCTCCGAAATTATTCCTGTTTCATTGTCCGCTGCCAAATCACATATAACTGAAACTGCGAATGTCATGTCTCAGAGCGTGAAGGGGTTACTATAGATCTGTCTGCATGTAACGCAGCCCGTCTGTGTCTGCACACGCAGGCGGCCTTGGCAGGAGGCACGACCATGGTCATCGGCCACGTCCTGCCAGAGAAGGACGCCTCTCTGCTGGAGGCCTACGAGAAGTGCCGCGCCCTGGCCGACCCCATGGCCTGCTGCGACTATGCCCTGCACGTTGGCGTCACCTGGTGGGGGCCAAAGGTAAGGACACACGTCATCCGGATCCCCCCATATCCTGGTAACAAACCAGCACAAACGCACAGCGATCCTGCTGCAGATGGGGGTGTGGGAAGCCAGCGCCAGTCTGATGGCATCTCCCCAGGTATCTTCAGCAAGACGCGCACATGAGGGATAGTGTGATTTCACTCCACCTCCAATCCGTCTTTCACTGAAATTCCCGAGATGCTCTGCTGGCGTTGAGACTAACACCGCAACTCCGTTTCAGGTACACGCCGAGATGGAGACGCTGGTGCGCGAGAAAGGTGTCAACTCCTTCCAGATGTTCATGTCCTACAAGGACATGCTGATGCTGAGGGACTGCGAGCTGTACCAGGTCTTCCAGACGTGCAAGGACATCGGGGCGGTGGCCCGTGTCCATGCCGAAAACGGGGAGCTGGTGGCTGAGGTGAGGACAGAACGACAGCCTAACAAAAATGAGAAACGGTATAAAAGTTCATCACAAAAAAGTGCTTTTTAGAAAAACTCCTCATCAGGAGGTCTGCACAACGTCTATTTTTGGCCACTGGTGTCCTTGGTGGTACGCTGTTCCCAAAAACATTGCACGTGTGCGCACAAGTACATACACACCTAAAGGCACGTGCACACGTACGCAGTGTGATGGGCGGGTGGGGAAGGAGCAGGTAGAGCAGGGTGAGCAGGACTAGGGAGATGTGTAAGGGAGGCCGGGGAGCTTTGCGGGAGGAGAAACGGACCAGGGGGTGGGGTGTCATGGCCCAGGCCATAGGAGGCAGCGGTCACCACGGCATAGTCATCCTCTGCGGAACCTTCTGGAAGGATGTGGCTCTTTACTGCCCCCACCTCTGCTCCCAGCCTGCCCCCTAATGCTGGAGTGGTGGGTTTGTCCCGATGACAGTCAATCAGGTGTCATCTGTGTGTCATTCTCATCACCCCCCCCCCCCCACACCCAGCGTCACAGTTAATCACCGGCGCTGTCCAGTGTCATGGTGCTGATGTCTCAGGGCCGGTACAGTGGTACAGTGTTGTGGGGGCAGCCATCACATCACACATTACCCACTGAGTCAAATATCACTGCACTTAATGCCTGTGCCCCCATTTTAACAAACTGGGGCTGGAATGAGGCTTTTTCCCATGGTGCATCTGGCTTTGGCCTCTCCCCAGCCGTACTGCAGGTCTGTCATGCTAGACAGCCTATCAGAAACCAACCGGCAGCTGTTTGCTACCACCCTGCAGTAGGCGTGCACATCTAGGGAAGGCGTCCGGGGTATCTCCCAACATTCCCAGAGCATAAAACATAAATTTCAACAATATAGTCAAGTTTGGCCCAGATATGCCAGGATGAGGGCCCCCTAACCCTGAGCAGCGTTTCTGCCACCTGTGGTCCTATCTGGCTGCTTCCATGGGCTCCTCAGAATAGATGGATCATGCCTCTGAAATATGAATCCCAGTCGATGTCAAGGTTTCCGGAAACTCTTGAGTAGCGATCATCTGCTCTGCTCTCAGGGGGGGGGGCGCATGTTTTTTTTTGTGTGTGCCATTTTTATTTTGGGGGGGGCGCGTTTTTTTATGCGCACACACACATATACACACCTTTACATGTGGTCATTTACTGCCCAGTATGTGTACCTAGTAAACAGCTGAATTGAAAATAAGATGAGATTTCAGAGGCCTCAGTTCTCTGCTCCTTCAGAAATCAGCCAGGATCCACAGTAATGATCTGTTAGTGTTTGTCTACAGTCTTTGTAAGCGTAAGTGTAAGCGATTCAGTTGATGTTTTATGTTGAAGTCACGTGAGTGCCCCCTTGTGGCCACATTTTAAATATACACGATTCCCTTGTAGAAACATTTAGGACAGACCCCCTGAAATTCATTTAAGGCAGGGGTGCCCTATCTTATCTGCAAAGGGCCGGTGTGTATGCGGGTTTTCGCTGCAACTCCCTAATTAGATTACTAATTAGAGGACTGATTGGCACACCGGCCCTTTGCGGATAAGATTGGGCACCCCTGATTTAAGGAAACACAAAAGGAAAAAATCTGAACTGGCCAAACCTCAGAAATCCTTGAGATCAAATGTAAATGAAATATTACCTTTAGATAATACAAAATACAAACAAATTGACTGTAATTAAACACTACTGGGGCCAGTGGAAGGCTATACCTTCTGTATTCCATCCTGTGGGCAGTACACCTTACTCCACCCTGTGTACTCCACCCTGTGGAAGGTACACCTTACTCCACCTTGGCAGGACTCCAGAGCCACCAGCCTCCTCCAGTAAGGAGAAGAGCTTCCTGCTCATATCGAATTCCGGCAGAGATCGATTGCTGGGAGATGCTCAGTATAGGGAGGGAAGTAGGCTCAGTGTGGGGGTAGAGGGGGTGTCCGTGTAGAGGGGGGCTTAATAAGGAGGTTAGGGGAGTCAGCTCAATAGGTAGGGGAGCAGTTATTAGGGAGGGGGGTTAACTATGTATGTGGGGAGGTCAATGGTCAATAGGGAGGGGGACATGTAAACCATCAAAGAATGTGAGCAGATGGTCCAAGGGTGGGTACTGTGGTCACATGGCTACACAAAGACAAGCTATAGCAGCCGGTGATGTTCTCTGATTGGTCAGGATGAACTACTACAAAGATGTGGGTCCTCACTAGCATCGAGGGGGCGGGGCTTCTCACATTCCTGCAGAGTTTCTCTTGAATGCAACATGACAATTTTTATTCAGACGCTTTTGTTGAACTGTGCAGTTGATAGCCTTGAAAATATCCTCACTTATTCTATTTTGTTTTCACTCTCAGTTTTTGATAATGTTTTCATGAGCGTCAGATTCGCAGTGACTGCCCGGTGCACACAGTCGTGTTTAACACAGGGACATTTGCTGTGACACTGTGTCTCTTTACCAGGGTGCAAAGGAGGCTCTGGACCTGGGCATTAGCGGTCCAGAGGGCATCGAGATCAGCCGGCCAGAGGAGGTCAGTCAGTCCTCTCTCCTTTGTTTTTCTCGAGCAGCCTCAGGGTGACGTCGGTCTGTCGATGGTTCTGAAGAGGCTGTGTCAGTCTGCTGAGGGCTACAGCATCCCTGATACTGAGGGGGGTGTAACAGCTGACTGAGGTCACAAGCCTTTGCTTTGCTAGTCGGTCTGGTCAGATGAAACCACTCCAGACTTTTATACTGCCCCGATGCTGATGCTCATTTGAGGAGTACCTGGGGCAGTCTGGGGTCTTTGTTCATCACTGTGCTGTTTAATCTCCACCTACAGCTGGAGGCGGAGGCTACGCACCGAGCCATCACCATTGCCAACAGAGTGAGTCGCGTGCTGTGTGCGCGTGTGTGTGTTCAGAAGCTTGTGTGGACTGTGTGTCTGACCAGCAATAACTGCCTCTTCCAGGCTCACTGCCCCATCTACCTGGTCAATGTGTCCAGTATGTCAGCGGGGGATGTTGTGGCCACAGCCAAGATGCAGGGTGAGCTCTGTCACCCTCTGTCTGTCCCCCTCTGTCTGTCCCCCTCTCACTCTGTCACCCTCTGTCTGTCTCCCTCTCGCTCTGTCACCCTCTGTCTGTCCCCCTCTCGCTCTGTCACCCTCTGTCTGTCCCCTTCTCGCTTGGTCACCCTCTCTGTTTCTGACACTCATTTTATTCTCTGTCACTTGATCTTTTTGTCTCTCTCTCATTCCGTCTTTCTCTGTAATTCTCCCTCTCCCTTTCTCTGTCTTTTTCTTTTTTCTATCTCTCGCTGTATACTTTTCTCTGCCTTGTCATTCTGTCTCTCATTTTTCCTTCCTCTATTTTGGTATCTCTCTTTTTCTCACTCTCATTTTTCCTCCCTCTCTTTTTATCCATTTATCTAATTCTGTCTTTTTGCTTATCTTTCTCAGTCTGTGTCTTAATCTTCTTTCCTCTCTGCTGGTCTCCCTCTCTCAATCTGTCTCTCTCTCTCTCTTTTCTGTCTCTTCTTCTCCTCCTCCCTCGCTCCATGCCTCGAGATTGCGTAATACCTGAGGGTCCCTGCTGAGCCAGGTGTACCTTTGCACAGGTAAGGTGGTCCACGCAGAGACGACCACGGCCCATGCGGTCCTCAACGGTCTGCACTACTACCACCAGGACTGGTCACATGCTGCTGCCTATGTCACTGTGCCCCCACTGCGCCTGGACCCCAACACGCCAAACTACCTGATGGGTCTGCTGGGAAAGTAAGTGCCCCCTAGAGGTCGGGCTGTGTCTTACACCATGCTGTCAGCCGACGCAAAAGGCCGAATTGCAGAGAATTAAAATGTCATGTGTTCTGCTTTGACTGTGTAAGTGTTTGATGATTTCAGTGTGAATTGGTGTGTCATTTTTGTGCAGGTTGGTTGTGATATGACTGTGTTTGATTCCTGTGTGTTGCCTATGTGATGTGGGTCCATTTAGATTCAAAGGATTTTACTGTTATTGTGTTAGTGACCTCCCAAGTGGATACAATCACATATATGAGGTAAACAATATATACAAGAAGTAAACCAAAACAAAAGTACATTATATAGAAAAGTAATCAACATATAAAGAGTGATTTTTGTTTGAATGTTTATGATGTAGTGGAAGTTTAAATTGTTTATGATTGAGTGTGATTGTGTTTGAATGTTGATGACTGGGTGTGATTTCTGCTTGACAGCTAAGGATTGCGACTGTGATTCTTTATGACTTTCTGTGAGGCTGTGTAACTGTGACCATACTCGTGCCCCTAGTGATACTCTGAACGTAGTGGCCTCAGACCACCGTCCCTTCACCACCAAGCAGAAGGCTATGGGCAAAGAGGACTTCACTAAGATCCCACATGGCGTGCCCGGGGTGCAGGATCGGATGAGTGTGGTCTGGGAGCGGGGTGTGGTGAGTGAGGGGGGTGAGGGCTGGCCTAGGCCTGCTCTGATGCAGCTGGGCCTTCAATATCTCTGTCTGATCTCCACCAGGTCGGAGGCAAGATGGACGAGAACCGCTTTGTGGCTGTGACAAGCTCTAATGCCGCCAAGATCTACAACCTTTACCCCAGGAAGGGCAGGATTATCCCAGGAGCTGATGCTGACGTAGTCGTCTGGGACCCTGATGCAACCAGGTATTTAACACCCTCAAAGATTCACAGGGCCTACCCTAGGTCTGACCTGCCTTCAGAAGCTCTCTGGAGTTTACAGTCTGTGGAATAATGTGCTATACACATAGTAAACATCGCTGTTGTATTAATAACTGCAGCTAAAGTAATACAGGGAGTTCTCGACTGACATCAGTTATTCGTTTCTCAAATCCTTATGCAAGTCAGATTTTACGTATGTTGGATATACCTTCCCATACCATTCAGGAGACCTTATAGCAAATAACACATCAGCCAAAAATATATTAGCAATATGTGCTAAAGAAAACATAAGAATAAATAAAGAAAAGATAAAGTGTAAATGTACTTATGTCTTATATACTGTATGTTGTCATATTGCGTTAATGCTTCTGTAAACTCTGTGTATCTCAGATGTATTTTAGTATGGATTTACTCAAGTTGGTTTTACAATAGTCAAGAGCTGCCTGTACTCACATAGTTTCCTAAAACAAAACAGTTTTGTAACCCTGCGCGCGTGTGTGTGTGTATGTGTGTGTTTGACCAGGACTATCTCTGTGAGCACTCAGCAGCAGGGAGGGGACTTCAACTTGTACGAGAGCTTGCGCTGTCACGGCGTGCCGCTGGTCACCATCAGCCGTGGCCGGGTGGTGTGTGAGAACGGCGTCTTCATGTGTGCCGAGGGCTCTGGGAAATTCTACCCCCTCAGGACTTTCCCCGACTTCCTCTACAAGAAGATGATCCAGAGGGAAAAGGTAGAGAAATCCAGTTACCATAACGTGTAATCGGAGCCGTGAACGGCTGGATGAATCTTTAATGGTAACTGAATATTCATGCCATCTTCATGTAAACCTTTCCTCTCTTTTGATCACACACACACACACACATATATATATGACTCTTCATTTTAATGTGACATTTAAAATTTCAGCTCTTCTAATATTTTAACAGAGAACCTCATTCACAAATTAAATATACACAGTCTACAGTTTATCCATTATATTTTAATAACAGATGTTCTTTGACATGACAGCATTCTCTGTCCTCTGGGTGTTGCCCTAGTTGTCCTGAGGGTATGAAGGTGACATCTGACTCTGTGTGTGTGTGTGTGTGTGTGTGTGTGTGTGTGTGTGTGTGTGTGTGTGACTTCACAGTGTCAGGTCCTGAAAGCTGTGGACCGAGCTCCCTATACCGGCGATGTTGCCATAGTGCATAACTCTGGGAAAAAGGAGACAGGAGCCCCAGACGGGGACACCCCCACCCGACCCTGTACCCGACATGGGGGCATGAGGGACCTACACGAGTCCAGCTTCAGTCTGTCTGGTAAACACCTGGAACACACCCGGAACACACCCGGAACACACCTGGAACACACCCGGAACACACCTGGAACACACCCGGAACACACCTGGAACACACGTGTCTGAAGCTCCTCATGGCGAGGGGTGGGATGCAGAGCTGAGCACAAATATTTAAGGCTTGGGAGAGGAATGTTACATTCAGCACATTTAACGTATAAAGCATGGGACTGCAGCTGAATTCATATCCACAAGATGAGCATCAGTTTCTAAACATATTAAAATATCAGGAAATCAATGGGATATCTGTAAATTTGCCTAATTTGGAAGTAAAACATTTTAAATAAGTATTTGGATTTAAATGACAAACTTCTAAGAGGATTCTTTTGGCTTACATTTGAATTTTAGTTTTTATTAATATACCAATAATTTCTAAAAGCATTTTGTGTGTCTGTTTATCACCTATCAGGGTCCCAGGTGGATGATCACGTTCCAAAGAGGTCTTCAGCCAGGATTCTGGCTCCCCCCGGTGGCCGGTCCAGTGGCATCTGGTAACCAAGGAAACAACCACAGCGGGGGACCAAGCCGCAAGACTTGGAGTTCAGTACAGTGCTACTATGATACAACACAAACACATCAGTCTTCAGTAAATTAATGTCCAACCAGAAAAAACTGCACTGATTTTGTTTTGAAAAACGCTATAATCTCTGAAACACATTTTATGAAGGAAAGAAAATTGCACCATTTCCTGAGAAGGTTTTACAATGAATTTTACATTTTACCCACCAATGTGGTCTTAGAGAAAAGGCTCGTTATGAAATTGGACTTTTTCATGGATGCTGAGCATATGTGAATGATAAAACCAGTACAGTTTTTGTTGGTTTGGTGTTGGCTGGGGTAATTTATCGATACTAGGAACAGACAAAATGCATAGATATGTCTAGATGTAGGGTAGTCATGATGCGATGTGATTTCTGTTATGGTGTCTTCTTGGGTACATATGAAAAAGTAAAACCCTCCGACTTATTTATCTGTCATCTGTAAGGAGTTTCAGCCAAGGAACCTGGATCCTCTAATGAAGTCCCTCAAGCCCCCTTGCTTTGATGTGAGCATCCAGCTTCCTGTTGAGTTGCACGTTGCCGTTCTTTAATATGACGTCCTGTAGTTATACTGCACACCCATAACCACTGGACTCACTATGTATTTAAAGTCTCCTGAGGCACCCGAACTTAATATTGTGTTAATTTTTTGAAGCCCAAGAGAAACAAAATCCAAAGGCTTCAATACATTTTTCTATATAATTTTAGCAGGTCCATTCTGTACTTGTCACCACGACTTAGTCTGTTATCTGACTTTGGAGAAAACACAAATTGGTCCATATACGCTGTAGGGCATGTGGTTTTAGGCAGGATCAGCAGCCATGTTTACAGACAACACACTCCCATTTTTCCCCTCCATTGGGAGTTCCCGAAGCAGGTCCATGTCATGTGACTGGGGTGACACCTTCCTTTGACGGCCATCTGTCTTGCTTTGTACATCCTTGGATGTGACTTGCACGTCTTCAGCTGATTTCCCTGTTTGATTGTCTCGGCTTGGGTCATGGAAAACAATGTTTTTGCTTTCTGTTGGCTGTAAAAGTGATATTTGCTGATGTTCCGTTTGAGTTACGTCTCAGGTTAGTCACACAGCGTAATACTGCCTCCACCACATGCCGAGCTCGACGGACACCTTGGAAATGGATGTGGCAAATCTCTGAGGGCATTTAGTTGTCGCCCTACGCTGGAGGTATAGCAGGCAGGTAAATGCACAGGCAAAAATGCAGCTACACGGCTATCCAGCACCACTTTATGTCCTCCATATGATTACATATCTTTTCCGAAAAAGTAGAGCAATACAGATGCAGTGACCTGAATCCTTTAAACAGTTTTAAGTGACGTTAGCAGTGAATCACAGTGCGTTTCCAGATCCTTCACCTCACACACACGCACACAGAGACTATATTCCGTTGGATGGGGTCTGTGTTGTATGCAGTCTGTGGTCTAGGTGCTTAAGTGTTAGGATTCAAACTGCCACCAGAATGTTCCAGTACTACAACATCTTTGGTCACATGACCGGCCTATTTATTATAATTTATTTTTTTTTTAATGGGGGTGACTGTTCTGTTACCAGGATCTGTTCTGCAGTCAGTGGGGGAAGGTGGATGTGTAACCCACACCTTGTTCTGTTTTCCAAAGCTGACAGCATGTTATTATGAGACCTGCATGAACGGCATGACAACAGAGAGGGCTCCGGGGGAGGGGCGGGAACAGCGTAGGCAAGCCAGGGAGCATGATCACCGCATTACTGAACGCTAACATTTTAAAGAGAAATGGCTTTTAGCCAGAGCCCTGGTCACATGTCACCTGAAAAGATCCTTTTCACGTATTCCCAGTTTATCCATAATGTTATTTAAAGTGCTTTAAGCCTTTGTTATGACTTGTGAGTATCAATAAAGGTGTATATGATCAAAAGGACTGGGAATGCCTCTGTTTGAGGTGGAAGCAGCTTCGCCTCCTATTCACACGGTCTCATTTGGAGGCTTACGTCATGCTTTTTGTCTGACGTCATCTCGTGACGCCTCCATGCTGCTTTGGGGGGGGGAGTTCAGTAGAGGTTCCTCTGATGCCCTTTCACTGTCACCACAACGCACAGCAAGAAAATGTGCACGGGCATAAAATGTTTCAACTGGTGCTGGAAGATTTTTAAAAGAACATTTTTAATTGCCGCAGTTTGTTTTATTTTTGTAGTTATTTTTTCAAAAAGGCACTTTGTGAAAAGGTTTGTGATTGTATGTATCTGTAGAGACTTGTGTTGAAAGGTGAACTTTACGTACTGGTTTGTTTCTTATCACCGAATGAGTATGAAATAAACCACCGAATTCTCAAAAGCCCTTCATCTTTCCATCCTTATTTTAAAATTGCTTTATTACTATGTGCTGAAAATTCAATTCACCCGGACACACCAGTTGAAGTATAACCTAGAAACAACCTTAATGTCTTTATTACAGTTTACATAAACTGCATCCGTGGCACACGTTTTAACATCAAAATAGCGAAAAATAAATAGCATAATTTCAAATTAAGCGGCCCATCAGAAAAAATACTTGGTGATATAAAATGATATAAAACGATGATATAAAAATTAAATGAAGCCTGAAATAAAAAAATAAACGTTCGTACAATATAATATGTAGGCCTAGTTATTCGTGTGCAGACTGATTAAATATTTTAAAACTATCACAGAAACATAAATAATATTTCGCCCTAGTGAGGATGTGAGGAAGAGAGCCGAAGGCTCCGTGCTTTTAACCCTAAAGCGAGCACCTGCGCGTCGTGTGCGCGCAGCGTGTGAACACGCACGAAGAGTGCCGAGCGCGTTCTTGCCTACCCTTACAGTAGGGGCACCTGCGCAGCTCGCACATGCACTCTCCTGGACGCGCGTCGGCGCCGGTCGGGTGTGGAGCGGCGGCTGCTGGACTGAGACGGGGGGCCTCTTCTGGGACGCGGTGAGTAGCACGAATGAAAACGCCTGGCCCCTGTGACGGAGCGGCGCAGACACGGAGGAGGGTGTCCGGCCGCCGGCGGAGACACCGCGCGCCGCTTGTGTGACATTTCTCCCGGAGGCCTGCAGAGGAGACCAGGCTCATTGCATTTTCATTGCATTGCATTTGCATTGCATTGCATTTGCATTGCATTTACATTACCTTTGCTGTATGGGGCACAGCCGCCGTCCCTATGCGTTGTTTTGACATCGATTTATAATTTACGCGTTTTCATATATTTATAAATTAGTACATTACCAACGTGCCTCACTGTTCCACCCTCGACTCCGTTACTGATTACACCGTCGACTTACTTGGTCTATTTACCCGCTTGCTCCGCTATAGCTGTTTAGCTCGTACGCTCTTGCGCTTACGGATATTTCCGCAGAGCGGTGACCGATTCCTCCAGCATAGAACTGCAACATCACTTTCTCTCGTGGGACTTGAACCAACAGTTTTCAGGTTAGGCGGCTGTGTCCCTAACCCTGACGCCCCCTTCTCCTCATTCCTTACAGTCGTATTATGTAAATAAGTTATGTTATAGATGACATTACAGCAATCCGGTAGTGATACAAGCGGGATATCATGTCCCTGGACAGGTAGCCTAAAGTAGTTTCATCTCAAGGTTATCTGTGCGACTATGCAAATAGGTCCTAAATACTTATTTGCTTATCTGTCCTCGTTCAATACACCATAATTTCATCTACCTTCAGAAATCGACAGTTCGGCAGATAAAATTAAGGTATTTCTTTGTAAATTCATTGTGTTCATGTATAAATTATATAATCTGGATTGATTGAATATAGATCTTAATTGGCTAATTGATGAGTTAGTAGCATTTTAAATTATTTTTCCTCATGACAAATGAATAAGGAAGAAGGAAGTTTAATCAGGAGGGTGGTGGGATCTTCACAGTTTTTTTTTTTTTCTTGGTGCCATATATTTTCCATGCTGAGACGTTTCGCTGCCAGTCCCTCAGTCTCGTCCTCCGCGGTCTGCACCTCGTCTCCCTTCAGCGAGGCCGCTGCTGAGTAGAAGACGCAGGCCGGAAGTGAAGCCATCGTGGGGTGGTCAAGGGCAGGCGTGCTGGGGTCTTACTGCTCACTGTTAAGGCAACTGACTACTTGAGAGGCATGAGATGCCGGTTAGCATATTGATTCGTTAAAAATCAGGACCTTGCATTCAGTTCAATCTGTCTGTCAGGCCACATGCGGGAAGCGGCTCAGAGTGGTTTATTGGTATCTGACATAGGTATCGGTAATATTACACACAACTGTATCAATTATCAGTATCGGTCAAAATTTCTGCATCGATGGACCACCGCTGATGCCGTTGGATATCTGTCATATTACTGTCCCGTCGGGACCGGGGCATGGTGCTACAGGCAACCGCCCTCTCCCTCCCCCAATCAGCTGTCTGTTGGCATACCCAGCCTGGGCAGGGAGGGTACTTAGTGCCACACAGAAGCCCCAGCCAGCTGATTCAGCTTAATCCCCAGAGACACTGTGTGACAATGTCGCATGTGCGCCACACTGATTTGGGCCACGTGTCGGCCGATCCGCTGCGTCAGCAGGGGCCGCCGGCTGTGTCTGCGCTTCACCGAGGGCTTCCCCGTGCCAGTCCAGGCCAGTGGCACACTGGCCAAGGTAACCCGGCTGTAACTCTGCAGGGCTTTTGACAGCGTCTGTGCTACTGGGATGGAATAGATCAGAACATCTTATGGTGCAGCTCGTGTGATGGTATGTCAGCGCTCACCAATTCACACTCAGGGTTTGCGAAATGCAGAGCTGGGTTGGCAAGAGGGGCCTGTTACAGGATGCAGTACAGAGTACAGTGCAGTACAGGACACAGCCCGGACGAGGAAGTGCAGCGATATCAGCACTGTTGAAAATAAGGACTCAGTGTAAGTCAGTGTATGAGCAGGATGAGTATAGTGCACTTGTATCTGTAATTTGGTCTGTGAGCAGGTTGAGTACATACTCTTATCACTGTAATTTGGTCTGGGGGCAGACAAGGTGTAGTGTACTTATCAGTGTTAATTGGTCTGTCAGCAGGTAAGATATACTTTTATAGGTGTAAGTTGCTTTTTGAGCAGGCTCAGTGTAGTGTACTTTTATAGGTATGTTTCTGTCACAAGCAGGCTGACAATAGTGTGTTTTTATCACTGTAGTTCTGTCTGTTACCAGGAAGAGCGTGGTGTACTTTTCTTTGTGTAAGTCATTCCACGAGCAGGCTAGGTGCAGTGTACTTTTCACAGTGCAAGTCATTCCATGAGCAGGCTAGGTGCAGTGTACTTTTCTCAGTGTAAGTCATTCCATGAGCAGGCTAGGTGCAGTGTACTTTTCTCAGTGTAAGTCATTCCATGAGCAGGCTAGGGGCAGTGTACTTTTCTCAGTGTAAGTCATTCCATGAGCAGGCTAGGGGCAGTGTGCTTTTACCATATGGTAAGATTCCTGTGAAAAGCACGGCTCGACCATGGAGGTTGATGCTCGTAATAATGTTTGGCTGTTTCTAAACGGTAGCAAGGACTCCCCTTTCTTAAACAGTGGTTTCCTTTAATTGTTCAGGAAATGTTCCGCCTCTAAAAAGGATGCATACCACTGGGTGTGGGACTGACATAAGCAGCTCAGAGGGCAATAAGCTTAATGTTCCCGTTTAGAAACAACCATAGAAGTAAGCCAGCAGAAAGTAATGCAGGACGTATTAGACTGAATACACACTATTTCTCTGTGCTCTGATGTTTTACAGCAGGGCCTCATTAACTCTCAGGCTATTATTCCACATCCTTAGCTGCCAAGCTTCAGCTGCTGCCTTTTATCAAACGTTTCCATCAAACATTTGAGCCATTTCATTTCTGGCCAAGGTGCACTTGATCTAAGTGGAGGGTTTGGGTGAAAAGGGCAAGCTGCTGACTGGAATCCAGAGCTGATCCACTCTGTGAGTAGGAAGGAGATGTGGTTCTGGGTGGCCGGTATGGTGGGCTTAGTGAGTCTACAGTCTGTCCCAGGACTCAAGGAACACCCTAGGTGGGAAGCCAGAACACTAGGTTATGAGTAAGAATCGCTCATAGGAGTTTTACTTGCACAAAAATGTTCTGAGGGCAGAACGAAAAATGATTGGTTCAGAGAGATAACCAATTGGATTGTAGAAGAGGTTGGTCCAAGCAACTAGAGGAGGTGGGACTAAGACATCTGATTATTTGGCCCTGCCTCCTACAGTTGCTTGGCTCAACTTCCTCTACAGTCTGATTGGTTATCTCTGTGAACCAATCATTTTTCTTTCTGCCCCCAGAACTTTTTTGTGCAAGTAAAGCTCCCATGAGTGTAGGAATCGAACCTCCAATCTTGGAGGTGTGGGGACACAGTGCCACCCACTGTACCACCCAGAGTATACTTTAGTTTTGTTTATCAAATACTCTGCCCTGCTTTCCCAAACCCTTTGCACATTATGCGATTACCACTGAAAATGAGCCTTCTGTGAGGGCAGGTTTTCCCCAGAAGGCCTGGTCCTTGGTCATGCTTTCATGCCATAACCATCATCCAAGTCTCTCCTTGGAAATGCTAAAACAGGCTGCCTTGTGTAATCGGTACGGTGTTTCTGATTACGGTTCATGACCTGAACTCTGAGAAGAACACTTGTTTTGTTTGGCATTTGGATCGTAATCATGTTTGGAAAAAGAGAGAACAATCTAGAAAAGTCCTCTCCCAAGAATAGCCTAAGGGATTATTTTAAGGTTTTTGGTGAGTCAAATAGGTTCTTACCTGAATCTGGGTGTCCTTTTTCTAGGAATCAGTCGTGGCTTTGCCTCAGAGGAACAAGAATTTTACAGCGCGCCAGGACAAGGTTGAAGGTGGGTCGCACCGGGCAGAGCCGCTGGTGTTTTCTTATGCATTTCATGACCTGTACAGTCAGCTGAGGTTGTGTGAGACGTGTATTGTGTAGTACAAACCTAGATGTAATTATTGTGCAAGCTAAGTGGCCCAAATGGGTCCACTTGTAAAGGAGGTTGATCCCTCTGCTCATTGCCTGCCTGGCCACTGTCCGACTCTCCATCAGCTTGTGCTGGGTCATGTTTGTGTGCTACCATTGTACAGATTAGCATTTCCCCTGCTTGTTCGGCAGCCTTATGCCACAGATCTGAGATATCATTTGATAGCTTAAATAAATGTCCTTTGGTAGCTCAGTTGGTAGAGCAGAGGACTGTGGAGGAAAGACGCTGCCATCCTTAGGTCGCTGGTTCGAATCCGGTGCGAAGGAGGAATATTTGGGGTGCTGTGCTTGTGACTGGAAGATTGCTGGTTCAAATCCCTGTGTGATTTTGCTATTGGGCCCCTGAGCGAGGCCCTTAACCCCCAGTTGCTACAGGGATTGGCTGACCCTGCTTTCCCAAAACAAAATATTCTTAGAATGTTCTATTCCCAATGGAGGAGAAGGCCAAACTCCAGTGGCAGACAGAAGGGTCCGTGTTGGGTCTCCTAGCTTTCTTAATCCTGTAGGCACTGGGCGTCCCTTTGCGCTTGTGCCAGGCCCAGAAGGAACCAGGTCAATACCTTTGTATGCCTTGTATTTCTCGAAGGACAATGGGAGTCGCATGACACCACCAGCAGCACTGGATACAAAACAGATGGATTCATTTGGATTCATTTGGCTACAGGAATCTGTAGGTCACTGTATACTGATACTGACAGATTTCTGATATGTCTTCAGCAAAGCTTTGTTCTGAGTCACCTGGCCTTGCTAGGTGCTGAGTGCAGCCTGCTGCTAATCATTGACCAGCATTGTACCTGTCTGTGGGAATGAGTTTTGGGATTAACCAGCAGGCCTACGATCCTCCCCCTCACCAGAGAACCTGAGAGAGAGTGCCTCACGACAGCTGGCGTCGTTGGCTTTCCTCTAGGCAGCAAGGGTGTTTACCGCCACTCAAACCATGCATTTGCATGAGGCCCCCTGTTGGCGACAAACAATCACTACACTAAATATGAAATAAATGCATTCCCTATTTAGGAGACGCTGAAGCAGCATGTTCTGCTAACCAGCTAGCTACCTATGATGTTCTGACTGTACCCACTAGCTATTTATTTAGTTTTTGAAAAGCCTGGGGGCGCTCCGAAGTGACTTTTTGAGTGGGTCACCAGAAACGAACAAATCCCAGCCCTGCCCTTTCACACACTGGAATCCTGAGCGTCTGTGCCGCTGCATTCAGCCCATTCCCGTGTGGCATCCAGCTCTGACCGTCGTTCTTATCTGTAGGGTTGACTGATGCACTGGTTCATTGTAAACCTTTGACCCCTTCGGTCTGCATTCACTTTGTCAGCTTGGTTTGTCAGCATGGTTGCACTTTCACCTTTATAAATCAGTTTACGTCTTTTGGCTCAGATCCGGTCTGTATGCTTAGCATTTATACTTTGTTAAATTGGGATGATAGCCGTAAGATTCCTGTAACATGGGCTGCTTCATGGGCATCTTCGAAAGGGTGTTTCTCCCTTGGCATCAGTGTGCAGATGTGCTTCAGCACAGTACCGTCACACTGTCCTCCCAAAGCGCCCATCCTCCACCTTTCCACGGACAGATGAGCGGATGTTACAGCCAGAGGTGGCAAGTTCAGCTCCAGAAAGTACCAATCCAGACCAAGTTGTAGTTTCAACCAGTTCACTGTACTCTGTGACTGACTTTTTATACTCAACTGGGTGGTTGAAACAAAAACTTGGTCTGGATTTGTACTTTCTGAACCTGAACATTCCACCATGTCTCCACACAGATGGGGCATTTCTGCCGTTCTGTTACCTTGGGTGGTGGAAGGCTCTTACGTTCCATGTCCTCAAACTGTTTAAATTCCATCGCGCAGAAGGCAGTCTGACAGCTGTCTGGAAAAGAGGGAAACGCATCCCGTAGATCAGAGGGAGTCTGAGGCCACGAATTGGGCTCTTTTTTGTTTTGTGCTTTGCTGTTGGGTAGACAGACTTCAGTTGTATTTGACGCGAGCATATTGTATTATTAGCATTACAAGATCAGCATCAGCTGTGCAGTAGATGTACGGTGAGCACACAGAATGTGCATTTGTTTACAGAAAGGATTAAAAGGGGCTTAGTGTCACAGCCAGATTCCCACAGAGGTCGGAGAATGCATGGTGTCTGTCACAGTGCTGAAAGTGCATCTGACGACGGGAGGATTAAGGGGGATGTGCGGCTGTAAATAGACCCTGTCACTCTGCAGCTGCAAATCGTCTCTGCTGTGTTTATTCAGATGTAAATGCTGTGTTTTTTATTATCTGTTACAGCAGAGGCAGCCGGCGGGTTGAATGGTGTGACAATGCTGTGCGCATTTTCCGAGGCTTGCTAGTAGGAGAGCAGTTGTGGTCGGTTTGAAGGCACATTCCAGCAACACTGTTAGATAGGCAGCAGTACAGGGCACTGATCTTCTGAAGGCACCGATGGCCATTTCTGACTTCAGGCGTGTGCGGCTGAGAGGGTTAGGATGCTGGATAAAAACATCTGCTAAATAAGTAGAAATAAATAAATACTGTTGGTGTTGCTAGATTTGGCTGCTGGATTGATATAGTGTTTTTGCTGCGTAGCTGAGCCCTGGTGAGGTCTGAGCATGCTGAAACATTAACATCACCTCCAGAATGGGCTGTTCTTCAATCCCTGTCATGCATGAAGAAGCTGAGGTTTATAGTGGGGTTTGTGCCATGCCGGGAACGTGAACATGGTTGCGTTTATCCAGCTCTCAGGTTACCATGTTGCTGGTAAGGACTGTCACATGTCCCATGATGCCCCATAATGATGATGGAGACCTTCCTGGGCTTTTGTGCTGCTGTTCAGTGACCATTCAAGACACTGGTTGTAACTGTGGAGAGGTGCTCAGTGTCTGTCTGCACATCACGTTGGTTCTTATTGAGAGCCTCACTGTCCTACTGCACTGGTGTATCCTAGCAGAGACTCCTCTCCTTGGTCTGCTTTATTGGTTGGCCGGAGCAGAGGCTTCTGACTTGGTCTGCATTATTGGTGTGTTAATGTGGAGACCCACCTTTGGCATGCTTTGATTGGCCAGCGCAGAGCCTCTTCCCCTTGGTCTGCATTATTGGGGTGTCAGTGCACAACCCCCACCTTTGCAGACCTCCTCCCGTTGGTCTGTCTTAATAGCATGTCTGTAGCTGTATCCCATTTCAGGGGCTACGTCCTTCTAAAGCTGCATTTGAAGACCGAATGATTCACAGTGACAGGGCAAGGCTGTCCCAATTCAAAGGCTCCTTCAAATGTGCCCTAGAAATTTGTCCTTCTTTTCCCATCTGGTCCCTTAATATGACCTAGCGAGCTGATGCTCATGTATCACAGGACTTATGGCAGCTAACCTGGCTAATTCAAATTCGTTATTGGTGATTGGATGATGAAAGCCTAGTCTTTAGGTAAGTTATATCTTCCTCCTATATGGCCTTCCTGCTTTTCAATACATGAACCCTTTCCTGACTGCCTCTCAAGCTACCTCTCAAGAGTAAAAGTCAGGAATAAACAAGGAGCTTACTTCTGAACTCACTTGCCTTTTCTACTTTGGCGCCCCCTGTCTGCTGGGAGAAACAACAGTTGATTAACCTAACACAGATTTACACAGTTTACAGTTCATCAGGTCTCCTCTCAGATCCATAGTTCTTTGTGTTGCAATTATGACAAACAAAAGGAGACACAGTAAATGAGCTTGGAGTTGCCTTGAGTCGTCCGGCCGGCACAGTAAACCTCATTGGGGCCTTCAGCGAGCCCTTAACCACAGCTGTTCCAGGGATGCTAGATGCCAGCCGAGCTCTGACCCTAAATCTTCTTCACTTGTATGTCACTTTGAACAAGCATCTGCTGAATAGACGAATGAAAGAACGTACACTACGCTGAAATATAAATCCCAGACAGAAACTGGCTCCTATGCTCTTAATGCAATTTCTAAATTGTGATGCTTGTTATGTTTATTTGTTGATAGTTTTCACTGCTGTCTCTGTTTTGTGACTTTTGCTGTTGCTGGTATTACTTCCTGGACAATGGTGATCTCATTACCCTGGGCATTACTTTCTGTAAACAGTTTGCTAAGTCATTCCTTTATCTAATGGTAAACACAGAACATATGAAGAGTCCTAGTCTCTCTTTGACTGTCTGCACATTCGCTCTAATGTGTCCTTTTCAGCTTGGGCATGGCTGTGAATGTGTATTCAACGTCGGTGACAATAGAGAACCTCAGTCGACATGACATGCTGGCATGGGTCAACGACTCCCTGCACCTCACCTACACAAAGGTGGAACAGCTGTGTTCAGGTCAGCCTGTCATTATGTACTGATCTGTGTGACCCATCAGCCTGTCGTTAAGGTTCATAGTGATCCATCTGCGTTCAGGTCAGCCTGTCATTAAGGTTCACAGTGACCCTTCTGTGTTCAGGTCAGCCTGTCATTAAGGTTCACAGTGACGCATCTGTGTTCAGGTCAGCCTGTCATTAAGGTTCACAGTGACCTGTCTGTGTTCAGGTCGGCCTGTTGTTAAGTTTCACTGTGAACCATCTGTGTTCAGGTCGGCCTGTTATGTTTCACTGTGAACCATCTATGGTTCAGTATATGAATGGTGATGGGATTCGCTTGTGAGATAAATAAAAGCTCCTGAATGCCATCTGAATGTGTCCTCAGGAGCCGCTTACTGCCAGTTTATGGATATGCTGTTTCCTGGCTGTGTTCTTCTTAAGAGGGTAAAGTTCCAAGCCAGGCTAGAGCACGAATTTATCCACAACTTCAAAGTCCTTCAGACAGCCTTCAAGAAAATGAATGTTGACAAAGTGAGTACTTAAGTGAGTACTTAATTCAGTTCGTCTGCCTTGATATAAGTACAGGTATCCCCTGCTTTATGAATGTCTGTTATGCCACTTCGCTTTTGGAAAAGACCTACATTAGCACCTGTTTTAGTTAACTGAAAGAAATCCCTAGAGGATTTTTACAAAAAGGGAGTTAATTAAAAATAGTGTTTAGCATTTGTTTATCAGTGTGCCGCATAACAATGTTTCGGCCAACAACGAACCACATATACAACGGTGGTCCCATAAGATTATAATGGAGCTGAAAAATTCACCTAGTGATGTCTTAGCTATTGTAACATCATAGTGCAAAGCATTACTCACGTGTTTGTGGTGATGCTGGTGTAAACAAACCTACTGCATTGCCAGTCGTATAAAAGTATAGCACATACAATTATGTACAGTACAGAATACTTGGTAATGTTAGTAAATGTTACTTTATATAACAATATTACTGGTTTATGCATGAAATAATATATCATACTTTTTATCGTTATTTAGGCTTTTCCATGTAGCTTAGATGTGTAGCTATACCATCTTAGTTTGTTGTGATGTTCTCACAAAAGCGAAATCACCTCGATGCATTTCTCGTAATGTATCTCTGTCCTTAAGCGATACATGACTGTATTGATTCTGGTAAGTGAAAATACGCTGTACAGACATTATTTGTGCCTTATGTAGGCTGGGTATTTATCACTTAATTCCTGCTATTATGTATGTTATTTTAGGTTTTATGTGTTATTTGGTATGATTATTTTTTTTAGATCTGGGAATACTCAAAATTTTTTCCCATATATATTGCTGGTTATTGTTTCATGGCTTTATGCCATTTTGGCTTATGAAAGGTTTCATAGAAACGCTCTACTTTCGGGTAGCGGGGAAACCTGTACTGCCTATTAGTCAGAAGGACAGATCAAGGCTGCAGAAATACGAACGCCAAATTTCACATTGCTCCTCTTGTTTATAATGACATGTATTTGCACAAATGAACACATTTGTAAGCAAAAAATGTGTGTGGAACGCATCTGCAAATTTCCATATGGTTCCTCACCTTTCTTGTGATCTAAACTGGGTGATGAGAATGAGATCAGAAAACCAGAGTGAATTTTTTTTTGGGTTGAATATATTTTACTTCACAGACTTCCATTACAATGTAATCCAATAAAGTCTTTTCAGAGGCTGAAATTGGACTGGCATGTTCTTTATTTAGATAAAGATGACCCTTTGTGAGATGTGTTCCTAAAGTCCTTGATAAGATGATAATATTCCCTTTCCTTCCTTCAGGTCATTCCTGTAGAAAAGTTAGTGAAGGGCAAGTTCCAGGACAATTTTGAATTTCTGCAGTGGTTCAAGAAGTTCTTCGATGCAAATTATGATGGGAAAGAGTACGACCCCGTGCTGGCCAGACAGGGCCAGGATGTGGCCCCACCCTCCAATCCAGGTGAACACAAACCCAGGGTTTCCTACAAACCCAAGAAAGCTAGTGGCGCCTCAGGTAACACACTGTTTCCAGCCCCTGCTGAATGCTACAGGGTGTGCTGTGCCTGCCAGGGTGGGGTGACCCTCTGTTTGACTCAGTGTTTGAGTTCTTTCATCCATTCTTTGACCCTCTCTCTTTGACCTGCTATTTGACCCAATCTATGATAAACACTTTAACCCTCTCTTTAATTTGATCTTTGTATTGATCAACTCTTTGATGCACAATTTGATCCGGTATGTGATACTTTGACACTTTTTGACCCACTTGTTGGTCCATTCTTTGATCAATTCTGTGGTACACCCTTGGATTACCCATTGCCATATTCTTCGGCCCTTTCCTTAACTCTCTCTTTGATTCTCTGTTTCACCTGTTCTTTGCCTTGCATGTCAAATCTCTCACTGTCCACACAATTTAACTCTCCGCTATTTCAGAAACAGAAATTACCCTCAGGTTAACTTGTAGAATGTGATTAGTTATCCTAATGCATGCATATTCTTATCCTGACAGACAGTTCATGTGTGTTCCAGGTCTTTGCAGTCTTAAGTCAACATTGGCCCTAAACTGAACAAAAACAATGTTGGCACAGTTTTTGGCTTTCATTTCCAAATCCTCCCTCTAAGTAATTCACCTTTTGGGCATTATAAACCTACGTATCCTTTAGCCTGCTGTATGTGCTTCTCCTTATACATCAAACTGAAAGGCCCCGTGATCTGATTTGCCTCCTCATGCCATTCACTTGGACTGATCTGTTTCTGCGGCATGTTGTGTATCTGGATGTTTCACCAGTGACAGGACTCAGACCTGAGCTGCAAATAACTTATGTGATGTCATCATGCAGTGCCACACAGGACGTCCCCCACAGTGCCTAAAACGATGCCCGGCCCCCAACGGGCCCTCAACAACACTTCATCCCTTGGCACGAGGAAGAACACAGCCACGGCACGTAACGGTGGCAGTGAGTCCGAAGCCCAGATTGCAGAGCTCAATCAGCAGGTACGTCTCTCCATGGTGGCCAGATTGGGACCTCCTCACCCCATTTATCTGGAGCACCGGGGCATAGGCTGACATGGCCCTTCTGTCTTGCCTCAGCTAATGGACCTCAAACTGACAGTGAATGGACTGGAGAAGGAGAGGGATTTCTACTTCAGCAAACTCCGTGACATCGAGCTCATCTGCCAGGAGAATGATAGCGAAAATAATCCCATCCTGGGCAGGATTACCGAAATCCTCTATGCAACTGAGGTGCCTGTCTCCTTTCATTTAGGTCTTCCCTATCTGTCCAGGTAGCCTATAGGCAGGAACGTGCAGTGCCTACTCTGTTCACATACATTATCTATATTAATCATATTATTCCATATTTATTTGTAGTGTCATAATGATTGTGGTCATATTTAGCCGTTGTTGAGGTGATTTGAACCTCTGTAACATACATCATCTCATCTTGGATAAGCAGTTCTAAAGAAAAGCAGCAGGTGAATTATTTTGCAGTCTGTATCCTGCTTGAATCAGGAGATCTCCTCTGCAGTCTTACTGCAGCCAAGGTCATGCGCTTAGTTACACACTGTTCTAAATATATCAGCAACAGGCAGAAGCACATGACACAGGGCAGGCATAGGATCAGCACAGCAGAGCTGACTCAGACAGGGACAAACAAAAGCAGCAGGGTGCTGGGAGTCTGACAGGATAGGATGGGGAGGAGGGTGGCTGGAGGAAGTGTGAGCTGATAGGACGGGAAACATGGCGGGTGGATAGAGAGTGAGCTGATAGGACGGGAAACATGGCGGGTGGATAGAGAGTGAGCTGATAGGACGGGAAACATG